GAATTTTATTGCAATGAACACTTACATCAAAAGAATTAAAAGATTTACAATAAACAGCCTAATGCTACACCTCAAAGAACTAGAAAAACAAGGACAATCCAATCCCAAAATTAGTAGAAGAAAAGAAATAATATCAGAGTAAAACTAAACAAAGTGAAAATCCAAAAAAAAAAAAAAAACCCAAACAAACAGACAAACAAACAAAAAGGTACAAAAGATCAATGAAACAAAAAGTTCTTTTTTTGAGATGATAAACAAAATAGAAACAGCATTAGCTAGGCTAAGTAAAAAAGAGAAGAGAGAACACACAAATAACAAAAATTAGAAATGAAAAAGGAGACATTACAACCAATATCACAGAAATACAAAGAATCATTAGAGATTATTATAAATAATTATACATCAACAAATTTGAAAACCTGGAGGAAATGGATACATTTCTGGACACATACAAACTACCAGGACTGAACCAAGAAGCAATAGAAAACCTGAACAGACCAATAATAAGCAGTGAGATTAAGGCAGTAATCAGCAATCTCCCAGCAAAGAAAATCCCATGAATGGATAGCTTTACTGCTGAATTTTACCAAAGCTTTGGAGAAGAATTAATGCCAATTTTTTTCAAACTTCCAAATCATTGAAACAGAGGCCATTCTCCCAAACTCATTCTTTGAGATGAGCATCACTCTGACACCAAAACTAGACAAAGATTTAAAAAAAAGAAAGAAAACTATAGGCCGATATCTCTGGTAAATACACATGCAAAAATCCTCAATAAAATATTAGCACATAGAATACAGCAACACATCAAAAAATTATACACCATGGTCAAGTGGAATTCATACCAGGGATGCAAGGATGGTTCAACATACACAAGTTAATAAATGTGATACACTACATCAACAAAATTAAGGACAAAAACCATATGAGTATCTCAAAAGACACAGAAAAAGCATTTGACAAAATTCAACATCCCTTCATGATAAAGACTCACGGCAAATTAGGTACAGAAGGGAAGAATCTCAACACAATAAAAACCATATACCACAAACTGACTGCCAATATCATCCTGAGAATGGGAACAAGACAAGGATGCTCACTTTTACCACTCCTATTTAGCATGATATTGGAAGTACTAGCCAGAGCAATCAGGCAAGAGAAAGAAATACAGGGCATCCAGATTGGAATAGGCAAAGTCCAACTGTCCCTGTTTGCAGATGACATAGCCCTATATATAGAAAAGCCTAAAGACTCTACAAAAAACTCTAAGAGTTGGTAAACAATTTCAATAATCTGTGAGATACAAAATCAAAATGCCAAAATCAGTAGTGTTTTAGATACTCCAACAATGAGCTAGCAGAAAAAGAAATCAAGAAAGTGAACCCATCTACAATAGTCACTAAAAAAATAATATACCTAGGAATCAATTTAACCATGGAGGTGAAAGATCTCTACAACAACAACTAAAAACCACTGTCAAAAGAAATTAAAGGGACATGACAAGATAGAAAGACATTCCATGCTCTTGGACTGAAAGAATTAACATTGTGAAAATGTACATACTCCCCAAAGTGATCTACAGATTCAGTGCAATCCCCATCAAAATATCAATGGCATTCTTCACAGAAATAGAGAAAACAATCCTAACATTCATATAGAACAGCAAAAGACCCCAAATAGCCAAACAATCCTAAGGAAAAAAAAAAAAAATGAAGCCAGAGACATAACATTACCTGATTTCAAATTATATGACAAGGCTATAGTAATCAAAACAGCATGGTACTGGCATAAAAAGAGACACTTGAACCAATGGAGTAGAATAGAGAACCCAGAAGTCAACCCATAAACTTACAGGAAATTGATATTCAATAAAGGCACCCAGAACATACACTGGGGAAAAGGCTTCCACTTCAATAAATGGTGCTGGGAAAATGGGACATCCATATGTAAAAGAATGAAACTAGATCCGTACGTCTTGCCACATGCCAAAATCAACTCTAAATGGATAAAAGACTTAAATGTAAGACCTGAAACTATAAAATTCCTAAAAGAAAACCTAGGGGAAACACTTCAGGGAGTAGGACTGGGCAAAGACTTTATGAACAAGACCCCAAATGTACAGGCAACAAAAGGAAAAATAAATGGGATTGTATCAAACTAAAAAGCACAAGCAATTAACAGGGCGAAAAGACAACCTATACAATGGGAAAAATATTTGCAAACTATGCATCTGACTAAGGATTAATATCTAGCATACACAGGGAACTCAAAAACTTAAAAGCAAAATAACAAATAACCCAATTGAAGAATGTGCAAAGGAACTGAATACGCATTTTTCAAAGGAAGATATACAAATGGCCAACAAACACATGAAAAAATGCCCAACGTCACTCAGCATCAGGCAAATGCAAATCAAAACTACATTGAGATATCATCTCACCACTGTTGGATTGGTTGTTATGAAAAAGACAGAGAATAAATAACAAATGTTGGTGAGGATGCAGATGAAGGGAAACCCTCCTACACTGTTGATAGGACTGTAAATTGGTGCAGCCATAATAGAAAACATTATGGATGTTCCTCAAACAACTATAGATAGAACTGCTATACAATATATATCCAAAGGGATAGAAATCATCATATTGAAGGGACACATCCACTCCCATGTTTATTGCAGCTCAATTTATAATAGCCAAGAGTTAGAACCAACCTAAATGTCCATCATCAGATGAGTGGATAAGGAAAATGTGCATATACACACAATTGAATACTATTCCATCATCAAAAAGAATGAAATGCTGCCATTCACAGCAATGTGGATGAACTTAGAGAAAATCATGTTAAATGAAATAAGCCAGGCACAGAAAGAGAAATACTGCATGTCTTCACTCAGAAGTCAGAGCTAAAAAATAAACAAAAAGTGAAAGAAAGGAAGGTAAAACAATCACAAAAATACATTGAGCTTTTAAAAGGAGAGAACAGAACTGAGGTTACCAGAGGTAGGAAAGGGGGGAGGAAGAGTTGGGGGTAAGGGAGGAATTGGTAAAAGGACATGAACAATTATTAATTACATTGTATCATGTTTAGTACACTAATTATCCTGATTGAGTATCACATATTGCACACAGCTATTGATATTCAACTCTGTACCCCACAGATATGTGCAATCAACTATGTTACAATTTACAAAAAGAAAGAAAAAAAAACATGTCTTTAACTTAGAAAATGAAAAGAAATTATTTGCAAAACACATACCGAACAAATGGCTTTCACCTAGAACAGACAAATGACTCACAATTCAGTAGTAAGAAGACAAACAACCCAATTAAAAATGGGCAGAAGATTTTGAACAGCCACTTTACCAAAGAAGATATACAAGTAGCAGAGAAGCACATGAAAAGATGCTTAACATCATTAGTCACTAGGGAGATGCAGACTTGTATTTTAAAAGGTCACTCAGGCTCCAGTGTAGTGAAAGGACTGGACGTCAGGAGTGGCTGCAGGAAGAACAGGCAGGAGGCTATTGCCATGGAACTATTAAAAGCCAGTGATTGCTTGAATTAAGATGGTGGTTGTGAAGATAGGGGGAGAATGACAAATTAGAGACATAGTCAAGAAGCAAAATAGATAGGCCTTGACATCGAGTTTGATTTTTAGATGGTAAAATGTTAGAAAGGATTCTAAGATTTTTGGCTTATGCAGTCGAGTGGATGATGGTGTCATTCAGATATATAGTTAAAATTGGAAGAAGACCGGGTGTGGTGAAAAACTGTAGTTTGTGTTAAATAAGCACCTTTGAGACACCAAAGTAAAATCACGCAGCTAGCAGTTAGCATAAGATGTATTCTAAGCTTTGTTGAACTTGGTGTAGACAGAAGTGGAAATGCAGTGGGCTGCAGTTTAAATGGGAGGGGACAGAGAAGAGCAGGGATTATCAAATGAGATTCCTCTGCTCTATCCCCAGGAAAGGCAGGAAAGTTGGTTTTCATTGGTGGTCTACACTAGCAAAGCAGGAAGAATCTCTGAGTGAAGGGGAATTTCTGAGACCTCTGTTAAGTACTCTACTTAGAACCTCAAGGTAATTTGCCATTGTTGGGGTACCCTGAGCCAGGACAAACTGAAGCCAAAGCTGTCCATATTCTTACTGCTCCTCCAGTTCCTGCCTTCCCCCATCACTAATTCCCCACATGTACACAGATTGTATTTATGTAGATGTAGCCTAAGGATATCCAAAGGTCCCATAGTGCAGGTCTATTTAAAATCTCACTAAATGATCTTCTGTCCAGTTTTCCACACGGATTCTATAACCAGTTGACGGAGGGGGAAAGGAGCATTCTTTCCTTTATTTTTGTACCTCATTAGTGAATCCTAACCATACTCTTCCGTAGATCCCTTTTCCATCTCAGTCTTGTTCTCACATTCTTAGACAGGACAATGGGATCTTTAAATTCACTCAGTTTGTGTTGGGAAGGGGCCAAATGAGTTAGCTTCCCACTGATACCCAGGGTAGGGAAGACTTTTACACCTCCTCTCCCTCCTCTTATCCCAGTTTGGCGTTTTCTAGCCTGCATTTTGCTCTCCCTATAAATATGAGAGAAAATAAAATACGCCATTCAGCCTCCTTTGTCTGAAAAGCCTGGCATTTCAGTGGTTTTCTTTAAGGGGGGTCCTCATTTGTAACCAGCTTTGCCATTAACGGAAATCAATCTGAATGTCTTATTGTGCATCTTTTTTCTTTCCTCACAGCCTGAGATTGGCTTTGCCAAGTTTTTTCCCACTGAACCTGAAAGACCCTCTCTCATTTTCCCGTTCCCTGCCTCCGCCCCCATTGAATCCCTGCAGAGCTTTCTCAGGCATAAGGGCTGCAGTGTGAGGACTGGGAGGAACTCGACCTACTCCGCTAACCCAGTGGCCTGAGCCAACCGCAAAGAGGATTGGAGTCCTACTGGAGCCACCCTTCCCATCCCCTCCCCCTGTGATAGCCTCCTGAAAGAGGGACACTGGAAGGGTGTGTTTGCATTTCAAATCATTGGCTTCTTGCCCACCTCTTTTCCTAATAAGAAAGCAGGAGCTGCTGTTGAGGGGCAAAGGGGTCTTCTGAATTGCAGTCGCAAGACAGGAAGATCCTTGTTGCTGTCTCTTTATCTGTTTCCAGCTAAAGGGGAGAAAGGATGGTGGAGGCTTTCTGTGCTACCTGGAAGCTGACAGACAGTCAGAACTTTGATGAGTACATGAAGGCTCTAGGTAGGTAAAAATAAGACTTCTGTTCTCTTCTTAATCTGCAGCATTAGATACTTGCAGATACCTTTTATCACCCGTCAGGTCAGCAAGAGACAGCATTGTCCTAATCAGATGCTAGGCTATGCGTTTCCCACCAGATGGATTTTTTAATGTGGCATTTGCCTGCTTTCTTGCCTGGTGCCAAATAGTGGAGCATTTGATATTCTGTGGAGGACGGGAAGCTTCTGTGACTATTTTTGTTTTTTCTTCAACATCTATTTATTATTTGTGCTCAGTACCTGTTTTACATGATAAATGAGATAATCATGCTCAAATAAAATTTACACTTTAGAATCTGGACAACAGGATCAAAAAGCAGATTGCTGCTTCATGAGCTATTTTGGAAGTTGCTGCTGACTGTACTGTTTCCCTTTGCTATTTTAGGTGTGGGCTTTGCCACCAGGCAGGTGGGAAATGTGACCAAACCAACTGTAATTATAAGTCAGGAAGGGGACAAAGTGGTGATCAGGACTCAAAGCACATTCAAGAACACAGAGATTAGTTTTCATCTGGGAGAAGAGTTTGATGAAACCACTGCAGATGACAGAAACTGTAAGGTAAGAAGCTGCTGCTTCTCTGGGGGTGGGGTGGTGAGGGGATATAAACATAAAAGATAAAAGAATCTCCGTGCTTTTTTTTTTTTAGACGTTGGGAAGTGGAGAAGGTTTTCAGTATTTCAATTCAGGGAGAAGGACACCAAAGCTAATTTAACATTCCGGTGTGCATACGTTATGTTCTGAACAGCGGTATTTGCTGTATCTCGACTCTCGAGTCTACAGTTTGTCTCTCACCACGTTTTTCACATTTTGTATTTCACAAACTTGTATTTCAAAAAGTATTTAAGTTCACTCGAAAGATTGCACTTTGTCTAATCTCTCGTTGCTTCAGATTGACAAAATACAGTTTGCCTTATTTTAAGGCTTTGGTTAAAGCAGAAGGGTAACTAGTCAGAAAGCACTAATTCAGGATTTTTATTTCTAATATATGAAATTTTTGCGTCTAGGTGTGCACATTTCAATCAAATTATGAATTGTTAGAGTTTACATAACAGTGATTCTAGAAGTAACAGAGGATGTGGTACCAACAGGACAATTAGTTGGTCAGGATTTATTCAATTATACCACTCTTTCAAAAACTGTCATTTGACTTTCATATCAGAAATCTGACTTGTACCTATTGTTATGTTCTGCATTTTGTTGTTGGTCTCAGTCTGTCATTAGCCTGGATGGAGACAAACTTGTTCATGTACAGAAATGGGATGGCAAAGAAACAAATTTTGTAAGAGAAATTAAGGATGGCAAAATGGTTATGGTAAGTAATGACAATTCCCTATTCTTCCTTTCTTTTTACCCTCTCCTCTCACCCTTCTCACCTCCTTTCCTCTTCCTTCCTCTCCCCTCCCCTTCTCTCCCTTCCCTCCCTCCCTTTCTTTTTCCCCCTCTCTCCCTTCCTGCCTTCTCTAATAACATTATGTTACTAGGAAGGTTTTCTGACCAACGGGAGAAGTAAAAAGATCCTAGCTAATTGTTTCCTTAGCTCAGCTTTTATGATTGAAGAAAAAGAGAAAAATTCTACTTTAGCGTAGTTTATTAAAAGTTGCCATTGGTTTACCTTAAACTCTGTGTCAAAAGAAGTAGTCTTATAGAATTACTGTGAATGTCCAACCCTCAAGTGAAATTTAAATATAAAACCAATAATCATAAAAATATATAAAGATTGATACAAGAACATCAAACTTACTGAAACTCAGAAAAATTATTAATAGATAAGAGATCTTTAAAGATTTTATATTTTTGTTTATAAAGGTTTACAAGTTCAGTGCAGATAATTTACAATATAATAGAAAAAAATAACAAAAAAATCCTCTAGTTTCTCATCAGATAGAACTGTTTTGAAGTTACTTCTTTCCAGTCTTTTTTTTTCCTAATGCATGAGATGCCTTTTTAGCATATATGTTCAATACTAAGTAGGCATGTAAAAATTATAAATTAGAAAATAATTTACAAATAGTGTCACTAATGATGGAGTAGCATCACAAACTCGGAAAGAAGTTATGCCTTGATCCAGCCTTTCTCAGACACTTTCTCTGTGAACTGACTACAGTATTTTGATGATACTGTCATAGTTCAGTAAGCTCATTCAGTTTTTTTTTTTTTTTTTTTTTTTTTTTTTTTTGAGGGGGAGAGTTGCTTTACACATTCTTTCTAAAATGATAGCACGTTTTTGTTGTTGTTTATGAAAATTGACTATTGTTTTCTTCTCTTCCCCTTGACTACTGCAATCAGAGCTGTTCTAGATTGAGATATTCATATGTCTGTGGAAATGGGAGTGGGGAGCAGAGGGAGAGTTTTCCTTTAATGTTAAAGGGTATTCATCCACATTTTCTGCCATCATCAATAAAAGAAAGGATTCATTTCTAAAAGATTCAATCAGAAGTTCTCCTTTATGCTTTTACCTCCATTTCTTTCCTGAATACAGAAAAGTGGATAGCTTGACTTTGCTATGTATGACTGTGATCAGCCAAGACTGAGTTCGAAAATGAAGATTAAAGCAATGGATGACAAGGGCACGCTATATTCTTGAAAAATCACATCAATATATGAGAATAATGAGCATAAAAAGACCCCTAAATTTTGTCAAGTATTTTACAGCAATTCTTCAAGTTGAACTTGATATCAGAGTAATAGAACCTGTGTTCCACATCAAACCCACCTAACCACCTGGGATCAAAGGCTAAAACATGAGAGCCAAAGCAATGAGAACATTTGTACATTCACATTTTCACACTGATTTTGGAACAAGTCATTCCAAACACCAATAACTAAAATGATTGCATTTTCTAAAGGCTGCTCAAAATTTATCTAGATTGTAAATTGAACACTATTATGAAAATCTTTTATAAATCACACTGACTTTCAAAGCAGATAGACAACAATGTAGACACTCTGCTCCTCACATCCAATTTGCTCAATTACTCTGATAATTTAAGGCTAAAGGAATTCTTTTGACCCAAATCTAGATTGTTAATCTTCAGTTTTTGCATCATTCTCATTTTAGAAACATGAACTATGTGTGCATAAGTTTCAACCAATAAACACAAGGATTTCTTTTTGTTTTAAGAAATGAAGAGCTTATGCAGTGTTTAATGTTTGTAAATGTCATTATTCTTTGGCATAGTACTTAAATCTTATATATCATAATCTTTAAAAATTCAGCTATTGATGTTCCTGTGTAAAAAGATTTATCTTTTGGATCTTTCAGACTCTTACTTTTGGGGATGTGGTTGCTGTTCGCCACTATGAGAAGGCATAGAAAAGTTCCTGGTCTGGGGCTGGAGAAGCTCTTCAGTTTTTCTGTTTACTAAAGTCTCAGTGCTATCGTGCTATTACGTGAGCGGCTGATCACCAATTGGAAGGTTATCTTTGGTGTGGAGGTGGAAAAAGGTGATTTAGAAACGTTGTTATTCCAAACTAGCCCAATTTTGATCGGCAAATTTATCACGTTTTACAATTTGCTTTAAAATGTTAAGACTTTGTTATATAAAGAAGCAAGTACATTTTATAATGCCCTTTGGAATGCAAATCAAATTGGAATAAAAATCTTACACATGTGTAAAGTTTTGTTGTTTTTAATGGCATTCATCTAGCTAGGAATTGCATATTAGAGAATTTTAAATAAAATTGTCATTCTTATGGCATAAAGTAAGGCACTTTGTTTATTATACTAATTTAACAAAAAATTAACAAAAGCCTCAGCAAATGTGGAAATGCCAGTTTTGGGTGAAACTTCCATGGAGAATTTGTGATGATTAAATTCATTTAACCAGAATCCAAAGAAACATTGTTACATTGGTTGGGCTAGAGAAATAAAATCTTTATTAGAAACAGTCTGAAAAGAAAAATGATACACATTAAAATGTCTTATTAAAAGGTAAATGTAATGAAAATATCATACAATCAAAGTTTCTTATTGAAAGGTAAATAGGAAAAGGGAGTGAATTTTATCCTGGATTATGAAGAAATGCTTCTCCAGGCGACTAAATTGAGTTGGACTAAGTCAACAAGAGTGCAAAATGGAGTGTTGTGCGTAAAGGGAGAATAAAGGCATTCGCGTTCCTTTTGGGGGGGAGGGGAAGGGTGACCAACTTGCCCAAACCAAAGTAAATATGTTTGTAACTGGCTAGGGTTTGCATTCATAAAGTACAAATATTATTTTATATTTAATCATTTACAAAATGCTTTTTATACATCTTCTCAATGCTACAATGGGAAGCAAGAAGACAGGTATTATTTTTACCTACCAATGAGAAAACTGAAGATTAGATTTGTGTGTCCAAGTTCTCACAACTAGTAAATAATACCAAGAACTGTAAACTGTGTGTTTTTTCCCTTTGTTTCCTCCAAAATTAATATGTTAGCTAACTTTTCTTCTGAAACAAAAACACAAAATTTTGTTTTCTTTGATCTTTCCTTAGGAAATCTTTTCTTTGTCAGTCTATGGTGGGGGGTTGAGGTAAATTTTTTTTGAACAAATATGCAAAACTCATTTTTAATGACACCGATGGTTTCAGTAAGTTTCTATAAGTTAATTCAAGGTCCAACTAATTTATAGATAAATGAATGAAGAAACTTCCATTGAAATTACAGTCTCCCTCTATCTTTAAAAGCACAAAACAGCACTGAGAGGGTGTTTACCCCAAATGCTCTGCCAGCCATCATCTCTGCTTCTGGTGGAGGACTCCTTAACTCTTGGTGATTTCAGCCTGTGCTCTTCTAGAAGCACAGATTCTGGCCTCACACAGATATAAGGCCAAGAATGGAGATTTATCTTCAGCTTATTATAATGAAGCCAAATAAAAAAATTATAATGCTGGCATTAATTTCAGTAACAACTGTCTCACAGAAAGGTTTTTGGGTGGGCTAAAAGATCAAGGGTTTCAGGGGTAGATCAAACACATTTTTCTGAGAAGATATTTAAGAGATATTTTTGTTTCCTAAATTTTTAAAGCGTATGAGTAAATCATTTTTCTTCAAGCCAAATCCTGTCTCACACAGTAATCTGTCAGTGTACTAACTTTCCTGGTTTGCCCTTTTTACTTTTTTTTTTTTTTTTTCATAATTAAAGGAAAGGCAAAATTACCAAGACCAAGGGCAGTTTGACCAACAGATCCTGGAAGAACATTTCTTAAGGCCGTTTTGTGAGGTCCTGTTATAAATGGCTGACAATGAATAGCAGAAGCCTCTGCCTTTAACTTTCCTGTGTTTCCCTCACCCTGATATACACATTCACAACGATATACACTTGGAACATAGAGACCTACAAATATACGCACAAGGTTGATGTTTACCCCCAGAGATGCTGGGGCACTATAGCTTTGTGCTTCCTAGAGATCAGGTATAAAGGAAAACAAAAGAAAGCAGAGTACAAGGGAGGATGTTTCTATCCAGTAATTTTAATATACAGATGGTTCCCAACTTATGATGATGGTTTAAATTACAATTTTTTGACTTAAGGATGGTGCAAAAGTGATATGCACTCAGTAGAAACTGTATGTCAAGTACCCGTACAACTACACAGGTTTTTCACTTTCAGTACAGTATTCAATAAATAACATGAAATATTCAACACTTCATTATTAAATAAGCTTTGTGTTAGATAATTTTGCCCAACTATAGGCTAATGTAAGTGTTCTGAGCACGTTTAAGATATGATGTTCTGTAGGTTAGGTGTATTAAATACATTTTCAATTTAAGATATTTTCAACTTACAGTGAGTTCATTGGGGCATAACCCCACTGCAAGTCAAGAAGCATTTTTGTTGTTTTAGGATTGCAAACATTTCTTAGGCTTCAAAATGTGTATGCCTCATTTTATGCTTACTCACTGAAGGAACGTTTCATAATCAACTTACTTCTAGTAAAATGCATTGAAAATGAAAAAAAGTAAAAAAATAGTTGTTTTTGTTTTTACAATTTTTCCTTTTCCTTTCTTTCAAAATGCTTGGACTAAAATCTCACACGTATTTTGCTGTTCTTAAGGTTATTCTCTCTCACCAGCTCATCGTTTTTTTCCTGTTGCATTTCTTCCCATACTCTAGAGGTTGGGGAGGAGAAACTCCAAGGACCATTTTGTCCAACACTGGAATGCGCTTTGGTTCTTCCAATGCTTTTGAATCATCTGAAAGCTGAGGCAGGACTTGGACTGCTCTGGCAGGACTTGAAACAGAAAACAGGGGCGCCTTGATTCCCATTTCAAAGCCCTTCATGGGACACACTCCCATCAAATTATACATACAGAATAAGGTTCTCTGATGGGAAACACACTCTACAACATCTTTTATGAGGTTAGTAATTCTGGAAGGTATTTTATTCTCCAAAGGAATTCCACACCTTATAAATTTAAACTATTAGCTTTGTTATTTTAAAGAGGTCAGCATCCTCATAAATGGTAAGGGAAGGAACACAGAATACACGACCCAACGCAGTTTGGGGATTTTGGCTTCTTTGCCAGACTGAGTATCTTCAAATATTCCTTGGAAGAGTACAATCAAATCACCTCTATGATTTCCATGCATCTCGGGAATGCATAGAGCAGGATTCTGAGACATGTTCTAATTCAGTTGTAAAAACAAAACAAAACACCCCCCCACCCCCAACCTGGCTTCTTAGAGCGGTGGTTCTCAAACACTATCATCAGTCAAGCATCACCTGGAAGGCTTGTGAAAGCACAAATCGCTGGGCTCCACGCCCAGAGTTTGATTCAATCTGTCTGCGGTGGGGCCTGGGAATTTGCATTTCTAACTAAAGTTCCCAGGAGGTGCAGATGCTACTGGTCCAGAGACCACCATTCTAAATCCACCGGGCTCTCCAAAACTGTTGTTGGTCTCCTCCAAATCCTGACACTTCCGCGCTCACTGCATCGGTTCTGCTGAGGAACCCCATCCGTTTAGAGCCGGGTGGCATTTAGGTAAGATGATCTGCGTGGGGTTTGCCCAAGAACATTCCTTCCCAGGCTAGTCACTGACTAACAAACCAGAGGGCAGATCATCGCTGGAGGGCCGGGAACCGACTCTGCCGTCGCACGTGATCGGCTGGGCGTCTACACCCGCAGCCGCCTTCTGCCTCCTCCCCACTCCGGGGCTCGACGGTCCGAGTGCAGCCGCCGCCGGAGAGCCCGAGCGTCGGGGTGGGTGGCCGCGGCCCGCCATGGCGCTGCTGGGCGCGCTCGTCTGCGGCCTGCTGGCA